TGTTTTATGTAACTGTTTAGCCCCTCTCAGCATTTAAAATTCTAGCCAAGCTTGTGAGCAGGGACTTTAGATTTATAGAGGTTTGGGGTTGAATCTGAGCTCTAGTACTTGCTAATGGGGTGAAAGCTACTTAAACTTCATGAGCTTAGATTCCTTACTTATAAGACAGAAAGAAGAAAAATAAGGAGGAGGACAAAGAGAAGGAAGGAAAGAAGAGAAGTAAAGAAAGAAGAATTAGAAAAGTCACAGGATTATTGTGTGAATTAAATGAAATAACTAGTCTAAAACTTTAGTTTTTAATTAGCCATTTAGCACTCTGCACTTTAGTTTCCTCTAGGAAAGATAGGAGTGGAAATGCTTTACCAAGTTCTCATGAAGATAAAATCAGATAATGGGTATGAAAGTGTTTTCGGACCTATGGTGCACATGCCAATTATAGCTATGAAATCCCTTCCATGAGGAAGTGACTTTAGAGTCCAAGTTCTGGATCTTATCACTCATTATAAAGAGGTGTCCAGATGACATTTCAAACTTGAGTAGGGTCAGAGACTTTCAAAATGCCAGAGCAACAAGGAATTACCTGGTCCCATTCTGTCATGCTCAAGATGAGGATAAGCCCAGAGAGGGAGAGTAACCTATGCGGAGACCTAAAGCTAATGACTGCCTTGGAGTGACCATATCTCAGGTAGCTCTAGTCCCAGACAAGGACTCTTTCCACTACTACAGAGAAGTTATTTCTCAAATCACATCATTTGCCAAGGTGCTACAAACTTCGATAGCTCTGGGACTTGATCCTGGCTAATCATAAAAGCAGTGAAATAAGAAAGTTGAGAACATAGACAAGATGGCCCAACCAGAATGTGAATTACTGAGTCCGAATAGCTGGTACTCTCCCACTCATCTCTTGATAGAATATGCACTTCTTGAAGGAGGAATCTCTATCTTATTCATCTTGGTATCTCCAGACTCCTGACTTAATATGAATCTGTTGATAGATGGATAGATAGATAGATAGATGCGTGGAAGGATGGTAGAAATTGGGCTTGGTTCACACTGGACAATGTGTTATTATTGTTCAATCCAAAGACCAAAGAGCACTACAACTCTTGTTACTTCTTGCTTCTTACAAAGGTAAGTGGGACAAGGATGGGGAGAGGTAAATTCTGCAGTTGACAATGAGGCCAGGTAATAGAATTTTCAACCATGTAATTTTAGAGCCCAGTCACCAAGCAAAAAAATAAGACATCTAACCCCTGACATTCTCCCTACTTTGATATGAAAGGTCCTAGAATTGGAAAATTGTCATTGGTTAAAAACGGAATTAGTACTGAGGTTGTCTAAAGGTGGGGGTAGATATAGCGCGTTCTTTTGTTCTCCAGGAAGGTTTAAAACTCTTAGAAAAGGCATTCTTTATTTGGAGATGTCTTAAAACTAAATTGTCTCTTTGGATAAAACTTTAGTGTGGCCTTCTCATCTCTGAGCCTACTATATGTTTTATCACTGTCCCTGCTTTATCTCAAGTTTTCATAATCCCCTATATGGACTGGTGCAATAGTCTGCCCTTTGTCTTTCCTTCTTCCATGTAACTTTTAAAATAGTCTCAAGACTGATCTTAAAAAAAATGACCCCAATCTTCAACACCCCACACAACATCAAAAAAATGTATATCAAATAAAGCCATACATGGTGGTTTTCATTCTCTATGTGTATCTTGGTGTTCACTATGGCAGACCTTTGCAAATGTTATTTCCTCTTTCTGGAACGTCCTTTCGTCTCTCCTTTATGTATAGAACTATTGCTCATCATTTGAAACAACTCCAATGTCATTTCTTTTGTAATGTTTCTTGACTCCCCAAAGCCATGACTCAATACTCTATGTTCTGGCAGCACTTGAGACACACCCCATCATCAGAGCTATCATGTGTTCTCTGATTATTTACATTCTTGTCTTCCACACAACCTATGAGTCCCTCCAGGAAAAGAAGTCTGTATCCTAGAAACAGGCACTGTTCCAGTGCATAGTTTTCATTTCACCTTGTTGATTAATTAATTTAATTCCATGCATGCAAACATACACACACTCATGCATATTCATGCATACGTATAAGTCTAACATATGTATATATTTACACTGCATTTTATAAATTGATTGGTTTCATTATCTACTGAAATATAACAAATAGATATATGATAATATAAAGGGCAGATTAAAAGTCACAATAAGTAGCAAAAGACTTTGAGGATTACAGGTAGATAGATAGATAGATAGATAAAAAATATGTGTTATGGTTATCTCCAGAGAGAGGTCATTACTTTTAGGGAGAAACATAAAGGCTATTTAGATAGAGGGGGCTGTTAGAAATAGGAGTGTAGGGTGAAATATAAATGGCTAGAAATATAATGATATAAACCTAGGAATATGTGATAATGTGGTGATTTACAAACGTGATAAAAAGATATCAAGAGAGCTAAATATATAGTTATCTACAAAATTATAAAATACATATAATTATAATAAAATATAGAGCAAAAGATAAATATTGTTATAGATTTTTTAAAATACATAATGTAAATGGTACAAATTGGGGGTGGGATGGGTTGTGTGAAAGACACATAGAAGTGCAGGATAGCAATGCATGTGGACACATGAAAAAAAAAGTGGAGGCAACTTGAAAGCACACATAAATCTAAAGATGACTCAGTGAGCCCTGATATCTCATTGTCACTTGGCTAAGAATTTGACATAGGTTAACT